TCTTCAAGGAAGACAACTGAAACTATTAGAACAACAACTGGATACTCTTCAAGGAAGACAACTGAAACTATTAGAACAACAACTGGATACTCTTCAAGGAAGACAACTGAAACTATTAGAACAACAACTGGATACTCTTCAAGGAAGACAACTGAAACTATTAGAACAAGCGATGATAGGAGATAAGAATTAGACAAACATATAACATTCTGGTAAATATATAATAGAAAACAGAATCACATTATCTAAACTATGGCCAAAGAGAAATATTAGTTTCCCTACATCAGTATATGCTGTGCTTCAGTGGATGCTGTATTCGGTTATTTGTAAATTAGAAACTGATATATGATGACAAATTAGTTGAAACAAGTCATTCTAGCACACACTTATTTATTAAAGTTTACATTTCTTTTCGAGGTTGGTAGATGACATAACAATATGTAATTAAGACTATGTTTATCTTTTAACAGCTCCCCAGTGGCTCAGCGGTAATTATGAGGGCCTATAGCGTTAAAAACCGAGTTTCGATACCTGTTACGAACACAGTACAATTATCCTGTTGTGCTTAACACAAACGAAACGAAATTTAGATCATTAGAGCCCAGCTTACTTTAACAGAGGCAGTAGAAAGAGTGGACTGATGACGTAAAACTGCATGTCATTAGCTAGATACCAGCTCCAACTAAGGCACTGTAAAGAAAGAAAACGCTGGAGTTGAACATTTCTTGCTCACTAGTCTTATGAAAGAACAAGTAGTTGCTTTGATAAATAAAATTCTTTAAATTAAATCTTGCATACTAGTTCCTACTAGAAGTATACAGGAATCCTGTAAAAAATATGTTGAAGAACACAAATTAGTTTTGATAATAAATAAGTTTTCTTTTCGCTACTGACAATTCAACAATGTAAGTTTACTTTCACTACTGACAATTCAACAATGTAAGTTTTCTTTTCACAACTGACAAATCAACAATGTAAATTTACTTTTCACAACTGACAATTCAACAACGCAAGTTTACTTTTCACAACTGACAATTCAACAATGTAAGTTTACTTTTCACAACTGACAATTCAACAATGTAAGTTTACTTTTCACAACTGACAATTCAACGATGTAAGTTTACTTTTC